GGCCATTCAATTTTGCAATTGCATATCAGTCATTTAGTCTTATCAGAGATTCAGTCACATCATATCAGTCATTTAGTCTTGTCAGAGATTCAGTCACTTCGTATCAGTCATTCAGTCTTATCAGAGATTCAGTCATATCATATCAGTCATTCAGTCTCATTAGTGATTCAGTCATATCGTATCAGTCAATCACTTGTACAAATAATACTCTTGTTAATATCACATTGTTGGTATATCGTTCAGACAGAAGATGGCAACTCATTCACGCTTATCAAATCCTAGGTTCAGAAAAGCTTACCACATGTGAACAATCAAAAAATAGAGTATTAGTTAAGTATCTTTACTAAGATATTACTCATTGTGGTCAGATGGCTGAATCGTCCTTGCAGTTGACCCTACATAATTCACAACACATTGGGTCACAACACAATTCAATCAGTTCCTTAGTTTACTTAATTTTCTTAGGCTTCTTTCTATTCATTAATTCATTTAGAATGCTCAGTGTGTGCCTAAGAATGCTTAGAAATGAAAGAAAAGAGAAATTGGAACATAAAACAACTTTTCAGAATTTCCTGAAACAGGGCACTTCGCTTGAGCGCATCATTGGCTGCTTGAGCAAACCCCTTGGTCTATAAAAGTACTGGATACTCGATTTTTCACACTCGACGGTCGCTCGACAGTTGCTCAAGCCAAGTATTGAGAAAAAGGATGTTTGCTCGAGTGCACAATCAGTTGCTCGAGCCACTGTGCAATTGTCTACAAAACTACTGGGAGCTTGAAATGTACACTTGAGCGAACTACTCGAATTATGGAATTTTCAAAATTATGTTTGAGCTTCAAACTCAACTCCAAGGCTCCAAATTCATGCATGTCTTGTCCATTTGTGTATAAACACTCCCAAAAATATACATTTAAAGATAACTTCAACCCATAACTCAAAATTCCATGAATTCAACAAAATTCAACCTTGAACTTCATGCATGTAGACTCATCTTTTATATCTTGCACTTTTAAGCTTTTAAACTTAGAATTTGACTTCAAAACATGACAATTCATGCATGCATGTAAGATACAATTTCCAATTCAACATAGATTACATGATTCATGCTCAAAATTGAGGATCCATACCAAATTCATGTATGCATGTATGAGTTAGTTCTAAATTCATCAATCTTACTTCAGTTTCTTTAATTGAGCTCATTAATCTCTTGAATTCACAAATTGCATGGCTTAAGCTCATGAATTAAGGTTCAATCACTCACCTATGAACTTCAATTTAGCTCAAACTAGCAAGAACTAGAGCTAATCTTCCCAATTCTTGAATCTCCTTCCAAATTCTTCCAATTTTGCTCCTCTCTCTCTAAAATCAAAGTCTCTCTCTCTCTTTCTCTCTCTCTCTCTCTCTCTATAGAATTTTGAGTTCAAAATATGTCTCTTCACTTAACTCTAAACTTAATTCATCATATATATACTCTTGATTAGCTTAGGCTAATTAAACATGATTATGACTAATCAACTTCACCTAAATTAAATCAATTTAATCTAATTAATTTGATTTGAATTAATTTTTAATTAAATTTCACCATAGGCTCTAAAAATCATGCTAATCATAATGATGCGATCAATTATGGTTTCCGTCGCCTCTGCGGCCCTCAATTTCAAATTATAACGAGAAATAGAACAGATTTCTCTATGGTGGACAGATATAAATTTAAAAACACATATAATCACATAATCACAAGCATAATTGGGGGTTAACAGTATAACACAAAATAGGGTTATCACAAAAAGAAAATAAAAGAAAATCAAAAGACAAAAGCCTCATGCGTGAGGCATCCTTGGCTGAGTCCACAAAGACTCGGTATTTCTCCACAAGTTTGCTAAGGCTGAACATCCAGTTGCTCACCTACATATATATATATATATATAACAGAGTGAGCGAAAACCCAGTGAATAACATTAGAGTAAAGGGGTTATATGAATGAGTTCTAATGTTTAAGTAAAATCATACTCATTGTAATAATTTCGTATCATAACAGAATGACATTGTGTCTAACAGATAACAGAATGACCTCGTCTCCAACGTATAACAAATGTACAGAACATAACAATCATATCTTAATATAATGACCTTAGCTCCAATCATTTACAACTGTATAATGACCATTTGGTCAACTCATAATAGATATTTGGAATTATCAAATATTCGGAATGACCTTAGGTCTATTTCAGATATACAGAACGACCTTGGGTCCATTTCAAATATACAGAACACCTTGGGTCCATCATACACATTCGTGTCACATTAATCACATTTACAGATATCATGTTGATCGGACGGATAGAAACTCATTTACACTTGCAAAATCATAAGTTTGGGAAAGTTACCTCATTAGGATATTCAGAAAATAGAGTAAATAAGAAGATATATTTACTAAGATAATACTCACAATGATTCGATTGTTGATTCATCCTTATGGATGATCCTACACAATTCATAAACACATATACAAATTGGATCACAAGGCTTATTCAATCCGTTCATTAACTTCTTCAATTCTATTAGGCTTCTTTCTGACTCTTTAATTTATTTAGAATGCTCAATTCATGCTAAGAATGAATGAGAACAATATTGCGAACAAAATATGACTTTTTAAAATATGCTAAAATAGGGTATTTCACTCGAGTGCAACGTTGGTCACTCGAGCGAACCACTTGGTCTGCAAAAGTGTTGGATGGTCCGAATCTAGGCTTGATGGTCGCTTGAGCCAAGGAACAAGATAGAAGGTGGTCGCTCAAGCAATATCTTGGTCACTCGAGCCAACTGCCAATGTCTACAATAATACTAGATGCATGTAATGTGCGCTCGAGCAAAGAACTTAATCACTCAAGCGATGAAGATGAATTCTGAGTTTTCCAAATTAAAGAAAAGTGTACCTACTCATTCTTAAAAGCAAAATTCATGTAAGACTTGTCCGAAACTTGAAAACATGTAATTAAAGATAAACACTTGATGATTTACAAATCTTATGCTCAAAACTTCATGAATTTACCAAAATTAAACCTTAATTCTTCATGCATGTCTATACCTTAACTCCTTTTCTTGCTTTTCAACACATGCTCTTTAACTTATATATTCATGAAATTCAACCTTCAAAATCAATGATGCATGTATGAGATAGTTTCAAAACTCAACATGGATAATAAATTCATGATCAAATATGAAGAATCTTTAACAAAAGCATGCACGCATGAATGTCTAAACTTCCAATTCATCATCATTAAGCTTATTACTTGTGTTTAATCTCAACTTCTCCAAGAACTCATTAATTAAATAGCTCAAGTACATGAATTAGGGATTTAATTCTTACCTAGAGTTTTGAATTAGGCTTAATCTAGCAAACTATTGATCTACTCTTCACAATTCTTCAATCTACCAAGCAATTCTTCAAGTTGTGCTCATTCTCTTTCTAAAAATGAACTCTCTCTCTCAATCTAGAACTCTTCTCCAACAGATTTTGAGCTCAAAATAAGCTAATTCACTTCACTTCACCATATATATACAAGTAATTAGATTATGGTATTAAGTAGGTTTAAGCATTAATTAATCACACTTAATTCTAATAGTTTAATCTAATTAATTTAAATTGAATTAAATTCTAATCAAACTTTTCATTAGGCTCTAAAAATTATGTTATTCACAATAAACTAATCAATTTTGGTTTCTAACACCATTAAAACCTTCAATTTCATATTATAATATAAATTTCAACAGATATTCATATGGTTAACAGATATGAAGTCAAAAAACACATTAATCACATAATTAACATTCAAATTCACACCTAACACATAACACATACATAATTTAAAATAAAAAAAATTTAAAAATATAATACGTGACGGGGTTATCACACTTTGTTAGACCCACTTATTTGAGAAATCTTCAAGCAAGTCTTGCTTCCTCATTGCAAGTCAAATAATTAACATTCTCAACTTATTGCTATTTGTACTTTTCATTAGAAAAGTCTTTTGCTGCAAGAGAGGGAATTGCACTTTGGCCGAACATGTCCCTTGCACAAGCTAACACAATGCTCCCAGTACTTTGGTGCTTAGGGTGTATCAGCATTGTTTCCAATGACACTTCAAGATGGGTGTCATGTCCATGCCAACACGTATCAGACATCGACATCTCGCAAACATGCGTGCTCACAAGTTAGACACAACGCATGGCATGTCAAAGTTTTATGCTGTGTTTGATTGGGAGATTTGAGAAGGGATTTAGAAAGAGAAATGAAAAAAGAAGGTGAAATGTTAATAAAACATACTTATATTTCACCTAGTTTCACACACCTTTTCCCTTTTCCTTTCTAAATCCCTCCTCAAATCCGTCAACCAAACACAACATTAAATTATTCTTTTACAGGATGTGTTGAGGACACTTCACACACACGTATGTCTTATATTTAGACTCCATAAATTAACTTGATAGACTCGTAAGAAAAGTTATTAAATATTCTTAAATTTTTTAACATGATAATGATAAATTTATAAATAATTTTCTAAAAAATTTATTAACATATACATCAAAAGTATACGTTAATAAAATCCAATAACTAACTACATAGCCAATTACAGAAATTTATAGCTGAAGTAATCTCGAGTGAGGGGCTGTAATGTAACGTCCAATGTGTATGACCAGGTCCATCACTATTGATTGATTCTATATGGTATGCTGCGGTCCTATGTTTGAGAAGTCTCTACATGAAAAGATCCAACAATAATTGGGAAACCCTCAAAGCAATTGAATAATGGTAAAACAATCATTTCATGATCTCCTTCATTTTATAGTTGTAATATAAGATTTTCTTCACACATCTAATTACATTTACTACAATTATTTTAGAACTGTTCCACTAAAAATCTATGCCCATACTAGTTCTCCCATTTGGAACAGCTGTTACAAAAAGAATTATCATAACCAGAGAGAGACAGGAAGATAGAGAGAACTGAATTTCTTTTTTGTTTTTACCGTGAATAGCAGAGCATCCAAAATCCTGTAATTTGATCCCACAATTGTCACATAATTTCTACTTTCTCAAGCCTAGATTGCATTCTCTCTTTTCAAAAATAGGTCACTCTAAACCATTTGCCCCAACATAGCAAAATCTTGTAACTAAAATGATACGGAATTTCACATTCTCTGATTCTAAAATTGGAAGCAAGCAGAGCATAAAGTGCTGAAATGTGTTTTTTTTTTTGGCTCTTCGAACAGGGGGACCCTGCCCTCCTTAACTGCTGTTGAAATGTTGTTTTTTTCCACATACGTTACAGGCTTGTTCTAGATGAAACAATTCAAAAGACAAAAATAACATATTTTGGCATCAAATGAAGACTGAGAACCCATTTGATTCCATAAAGAAAGCAATCAACATTGAAATATGTAGAAGATCAAGCTTAGTTCATCATCATCATCGTAGCTTCTTTGCCGCACGGAACAAGTATGGATATCCTTTCCTCTACTGGCTGGAAGTGTTGAATTGGTTCAGGAAAAATGGCGGGGGAAGAAAAGAGTTCTCAGTAACAAGACACCTCATAAGTAACTACTCTAATGCCTTACATAATGATCTAGAAAAATCCACTGTGCAGCGCAACCCCCCAAAGGGAGGACCAGTCTGGGCGTTCATCTGTATCAGGATGGCGGATATGCCTCTGTCATATTCTCTTCTTTGATTCCATCTGCAATATCCCTGAGTCACAAAACAAAACTTCAACTCAGGTATAATGAAAAAGAAAACACGAGGCAGGATCTAAACCATTAGTTAGTACATTTAGTGATTCTCCCCCCCCCCCCCCCCCCCCCCCCCCCGGCGGGGGGGCGGATAATTAACTTCAATCAAATTTCTCTCCATTTGAAGAACTACCAAAATATGAGATAAAATAAAACAAAACAATATACAAGTGGTGAAGTGGCGAGTTCTGAAACCATTGCTCTACTCCGTCACATATCTATAATTCAAAACAGGAACATCTATGTGCGTCTGTGTAGCTGCCTTCTCCATGGGGAGCCTTGTCATGGGCTAAGCCTTGAGAGAGATGTTTTCATAAGAACATAAAGTAAATTCTATTCAGATCCAAGCTTCACAAAAGCATAACACGGATTCGGCTTATTGGAAAAAGTTGTCATAAAAAGAGGTCCTAAAACCTTTTAGTGTACATATGTAGGTAGTGTTTGATAAGGCTAAAAACTGAAGATTGAAAATTGAATGTTGAATTTTTTAACCTGAAAAGTTGTTTGATAAAAATTTAAGTACTAAACTAAAAATAAATTGTTTGATATGTATAAGATCAAATTTGAAATTTGTTATTTTCAAATTGTAGATTTCAACTTTTATATTATGATGATGGTGGTGATGGTGTGGTGGTGGTGGCATGGTAGCAATAACAATTATAGTGGCAATAAAATGATGGTGTTGCTTATGGTAACAATAACAATGGTGATGAAAGTGGTGGTGGTGATGGCAACGGCATGATGGTGGTGGTGATGGTGGTGGTGGTGGTGGTGGCCGCGGCGGCAACCATGCTGGTGCTGGTGCTGGTGCTGGTGCTGGTGCTGGTGCTGGCGGTGGTAGTGGCGGTGGCGTGGTGGTGGTGGCAGTGGCAGTGGCAGTGGCAGTGGTGGTGATGGGGATGATAGTAGCGAAAGCGATGATGGTAGTGGCATGATGGTAGCGGTGGCGGTGGCATTGGCATGATGGTGGTGGTGGAGGTGGTAGTAAGTTTATAATAGTGTTATGAAGCACAGATACCTCTCTGAGGGCTCCGTACCAATGTCGGACATGTGTCGAACACGGACACATGCTAGACACGCGATGGACACATGTTCAATACGCAACTGAGAGTGTCCCAATTTTTTTTGCAGCCGGACACGTTCTGGACACCTTTGGGATCAATTTCACAATTTATGGAACTTCTGTGGGGTCAATTTGTAAAAAAACAAAAACAAAACAACATGTGCCCTAAATCGAGTTAGAATAGAGGAAAAAGAGAGGAGAACAGAAGAACAAAAGAGAGAGAGGAGGCCTGGTCGTTCGTCATCATCGACTGTTATCTAAGGTACACATCTAAGGTACACATTCGCCTCTTTTTCTTCTTTCTCCTTCTTCTTCGATCTCCTTCTTCTCCGATGTTGTTTCTGTCTCAGTCGATGTCTCTCTCTCTCTCTATCTCTCATTGTCTCTCTGTCTCCGACCTTCTTCGATCTATTTTTTTTTTCTTTTTTATTTTTTCTTTTATGTGGTCAGTGACAGTGGAAGTCTCTCTCTCTCTTCTATTTTTTTTTTTTTTCTAATTTCATTTTATATTTTTTTCTCACTATGCCGGTGGCGGTGGCATTGGCATGATGGTGGTAGTGGAGGTGGTAGTAAGTTTATAATAGTGTTATGAAGCACAGATACCTCTCTGAGGGCTCCGTACCAATGTCAGACATGTATCGAACACGGACACGCGCCAGACACGCGATGGACACATGTTCAACACGCAACTGAGAGTGTCCCAATTTTTCTATAATTTTTTTTTGCAGCCGGACACGTTCTGGACACCTTTGGGATCAATTTCACAATTTATGGAACTTCTGTGGGGTCAATTTGTAAAAAAACAAAAACAAAACAATATGTGCCCTAAATCGAGTTAGAATAGAGGAAAAAGAGAGGAGAACAGAAGAACAAAAGAGAGAGAGGAGGCCTGGTCGTTCGTCGTCGTCGACTGTTATCTAAGGTACACATTCGCCTCTTTTTCTTCGTTCTTCTTCGATCTCCTTCTTCTTCTCCGATGTTGTTTCTGTCTCAGTCGATGTCTCTCTCTCTCTCTATCTCTCATTGTCTCTCTGTCTCCGATCTTCTTCGATCTATTTTTTTTTCTTTTTTATTTTTTCTTTTATGTGGTCAGTGACAGTGGAAGTCTCTCTCTCTCTTCTATTTTTTTTTTCTAATTTCATTTTATATTTTTTTCTCACTATGCCTCTGTTATAATTTTTTTTTTTGATAAAAAAATAAAAAATGCGTCTGTTATAATTTTAATAGTGTTATTTTGTATTTTTTTTATTTCCTTTGAATAATTTTTTTATAATTTTATTTATGATATAATAAATAAAATTAATTATATATATTAAACGTGTCCCCAGTGTATCGTGTCCCTATTTTTTGAAAATTTGCGTGTCCACGTATCCATGTCGTGTCGCGTGTCCATGCTTCATATTAATAGTGCATATCGATACTTATATTTAATATTTATAAATTCAGTCAGAATTAAGTAAATTTCATATGATTTAAAATTTTCTTAAGTTTTAGCCTACATTTTAAGAAGTGCTTAAATTTCTAAATCATATCAATTGTGGTTATCAAATAGGCTTAATTGATAATCACTTAATACATTCAGTTTAAGTGTTAAATCAAGTTATCAAACACCCCCGTACTAACACACTTTTTAACATGTCTTAATGAACATAATAAGCTGGTCTTGCAAACAGAATGGTATTTTTCCTTTCTGATGGAATGAAAAGTTATCCAATCATTGTTTTGCGTAAGCAACACAAAAGCTTACCTCATTTCAGCATTTGCAATGGGGCGAGGATTAAAGTTCAAGCTCTGATGTCGAGGCTTCTCATCTTCATCAGCATCAGACTCATAATCCTCACCATTCCATATGCGTTGTTTTGGTCTTCGATCCATATGTTCTACCACCTATACATAAAATCCTCAAATGAGATTGATATAAATTAGGGCAAAATGATCAAGTATGCAGGAGAACAATTCAGGTTGTTGGGCCATCAGTTACCAACCTCTTCCGGAACTTGTGTAGTCGGAGGTGTCGTTTGAAATGATACACTGGGTGCATGTGGCAATCTGGAAAGTTGCTCAAGTAGCATGGTCCTACAATAATTATATAAGTCCAATATTCATGTCAAACACAATTTACTTGATAGCTATACACAGTTAAATCATGAAAAAAAAGAAAAAACCATATGGATTCATCAATCAATTCCAATGGTAGCCTAGACAGTAAAACATCAAATCCCACAGAGAAAGAGAAAGAGAGTGAGTGCCTAAGAAACTGATGCAAAGCTAACAAGCATATCTAAGCACATGTTACCTTGATGAACCTTTGAGTGCATCTCAACAGTCTATTACCATCATGAATGATAAAACAATACCTAAAAAATGGAAGGAGAAACTACATAACAGCAAGAAGAAAAAGAAACCCATAATGGTGTGTTAAAAGACCAACGGTCAATAAGGCCTGATGTAGGACAATTTGGGACATCAGCAACAGTGGATTTTTGGTGTTAAATTTAATGGGATTTATGGCTGAAATTGCAATAAAGCATAGGGGACAAGTAGGACTTGTTTAGGGTAATAAATGAGTAGAAGTTAAGCATAAAAAGATGAGATTCTGGCACTGTTTAGGGACCGTTTTAGGAGCTGTTAAAGTGCAGAAAAATATGAGAGGGAATAAAGGAGAAGATGGGTATAGGAATCACTCCTACAATTCTTTTGGTGGCACACCTATGGTTTGATTGCGTCACACAATCCATAAGAAAGCTTTAAAACTCTTAAAAATCTCTAAAATATTAGCTCTATTAAATTATAAACATTACTCCCTCCGTCCCAAAATATTAGTCCCTTATTTCATTTTTCATTGTCCCAAAATATTAGTCCCCTTTCCAAAATCAATAAATTAAATAATATGAATTTACTATTTTGCCTTTTTTTTTTTAAATTCATTAATAACACAAAGTACAATTATGACAATTGATATTCATTAAAAAATGTACTATCAAAGGGTAATTTTGGAAAATTAATATCTTTTAAATGTAATAATTGCACTATAAAAAAAATTGGATTCCCCAAAAGGGACTATTATTTTGGGATGGAGGGAGTACATGGTTTTATATAGAAATAAGAGACTTCTTAAACCAACTAGAATCAAAAAAGAAAACTATGAATTATTTTGACTTCCAAAACCAATTTAAGGAAAAATAAGAAATGTAAATAAAACTCAATTAAATAAATTGACTTACAAGACAATTCATGGGCGACACATGTCGCAAATATGAAAATTACCAAACTACCCCTGACCTAAAAATATTGAAAAACATAAAAAATAATCATAAAATAAGACTAGTGATACTAGAAACATAATTACATAAGATTCCGATCAGTTTCTCTTTGAAATCATGCTAATGTCCAAATATCACTTCTTTGAATTTAGCCTTCCTTGAACTTCTTATATTTGCATCACGGAGGTTACCAGAAAAGTGAGTTTTCGACAATAAAAGCAAATGCTAACTTTTTCAAAGAATAATTAAGGGAAGGCAACAGTTGAAGAGGGGATAAATCTCTCTTCTATAGGGTTGCACAGAATCCAATCTACCCATCCGATCCGAACTGCATGCGGCAATCTCAAAAATAGGTTTGGTTGGCCACAGATTGAGGATTTTTTTTGGTTTTCGGGTCAGGTGTCGGGAAGAGTAATGAAACCCGATATATCCAAAATGACTCGAATATTATTGCCACAAAACCTTAGCCTTCCACATGTCGCTATCTCATTGGCGCCTATAGATTACACATTTCTCATTTGCTGGCTTTGTGAAAATAGCTAAAGGGTATCATCTCTCTCTAAGTTTCTCATCTTCATCGACAATTTCACTACACCTAAGGACCGCCTAGGCCCAAGGCTCATCAAGGCACAGTTAGTGCACTTCAGAACATCTCAAGCCAAGTGATGTAAAACAAGTCTCATAAAGGCACACGAAACGTGCGCTTTAGGCTTAGGCTCAAGATGCACAACTTGTACGCTTCTTTTAAAACGATTGTTTATTACAATTACAACCATTGATTTCACTTTAGGGATTAAACCCCTAAACATACATTGCAACCTAACACTTTTTTAGTCCTAACTATAAAAAAAATGTCAGCTAGATAGAGCTTTCTCTTCGACAAGATTAAGAGTTCTTCTTCTTCTTCTTCTTCTTCTCCTTTATGTCCTTGTCCTTCTCTATACTTATCTTGTTCAAAACTTCAACCTCATCATTGTTTTCAATTGTTTATGATTTATGAGTTAGATGTTTATGTTTATGTTTATGTAAACCTTGCATTTTTTGTCTATGATAAAATATTAGCATTTGTTGGTATTTATGTTTTAAAATATTTAATATTCCATTTTACTTATGTTGAATCTTTAATTATTTGCTTATATTAAACTATCTATTTATTTTTTTTGTCACACATGAGCCCCACTTCAACTAAGCTCGTGCCTTACCTTGCTAGGAAACCTTGGCGCTGCAATGTTATGTTACCTAGAATATGAATCGTTAACATGGTATGCAACATGCTTTATATTGTGGTACAATAGGGGTAGACTTACATAGTTTACATTATAAGAATTTAAAGTACTTCTAGTATAAAATAATTTTTTTAACAATTAAACATCCAATAAAATGTGTCTTTTTTCAAATTAATCATGTAGCAACACACATTGTGACCTATTTTTGACATGTCATGTGAAAACTTCACTCTCTTTAGATTTTAGTTTATTATATTTGATAAAAGAAAATATATTGAAAAAAAAAGTTGAGATCATTTTGGATCGATAAATTTATTGTTTAGAAACGAAAAACGAAATCTCTTGTGTCTTTGGATGCCGCTATGTCTACTTTTGCCTCCACCACCTTTGTCGTTGCTACGCATAGCCAAAAGCCCTCAAAGTAAAACCTTGAACCCCTCGGGTCTCTGCTGCTTCAGCGATACCTATTGCCTTTAATAATGCTAAACCTAGGCTATATGCTCATTACTTGCAATATTTTTCCCTCCATTCTATTATTTTTTAGCTCAAGGATGGGGTATTATGGGGATGGATCGTAATTGCTAAAGTTCAAACCCTACACTCCATATTGCTGCATTCAAAATCTCAAATTGGTTCCATAAAACCCAATGCCCCTTCACAATTCACAAGAGGCCATGGCCAATAAAGAAGACAATGCCCCTCTCTTCAGGCCTTCTTTATACCATCTCTTCAGACTTTGGACACCACTACGTCCACTTTCGCCTCCGCTACCCTTGTTCGTCGTTGCTATGGCATAACCAAAGCCCCTTAAAAGTGAAACCCTAACCCCCTCAGGCCTCTGCTTTTCCTCGCTACAATGATCGGAGATTAGATCTCCCTCTCTAACCCCTTCCCCTCATCTCTATCTCTCATCACCCCCACTAAAAGTCCCCCTTTGAAATTAATTTTTGGGTTTGAAACGTGATATTGAAGTTTGAACGGCCTTTTTTTGTTGATGAAAGATGTTGAAGAACTCTGAAAGATGCTAAAGCATATATATATATATATGTATATTTTTTGGGTTCTTGAAGGATGTTGAAGGGATTGGGGGAAAAAAGATGAGTGGTGAATTTTGACCACGACCAAAAAAAATTCAACCCAATTTGTTCAATTTCAAATAGATGGCAGTCACGTTGAAGGGATTGGGGGAAAAAAGCTGAGTGGTGAATTTTGACCACGACCAAAAAAAATTCAACCCAATTTGTTCAATTTCAAATAGATGGCAGTCAAAATGGTGATGACTCCAATCTGAGATGATCAGTTCAGGTGTTAGGTATACAGTGAACTATACCCCTACATCTCTAGCTTCTCCTGAAAAGAAGCTAAATTTGAACATAAAAGAAAACGGAATGTGCAAAATTTATGTTAAAAAGAATTTGATCTTCACCTAACATAATTTCACTCACTTGACAATATTATGTAGATCAGATCCATTAAAAATATAATGTATCTTAATTATAATCCATAAGGAAATGCCCTTGATTCGAACTTCTTAATATCACAAGTCCCATTTAGACAAAGAGTAGGGGGAATTGTCATTTTTTTCTTTTTCTTTTTTTTTGAACCAGATTATTTATCTATGTTGTCTACATACCCAAGTAATGATTTCAAGCTAAACATAGTTCGAATTTTAAAATTTGATTTGAAGTATTTGATTTTGTGAATGGAATGGGTTGCCTACATATCTTTAGTCAAAAAGTCCAAATGAAATTGATAACAAGTTTAGATCAGACCAGAATCAAGTCAACCATAGTTCTTAGAAAAAATTTAGCTTTGATATAAATGAGTGAGTGAACCGACATTTAATTTGGTTCAACATTTGTGTTCACAAAGAAGATGACTACGCCCACTCAAATGTTCACCTAAATTAATTATTGGGTCATTCACCCATTCAAATCAATACCCCAAGTTTTATTCTTGAACTACACATACCTTAAAGAAGAGATTTGAGGTTTAAATTCTGGAAGACATCAAGCTAGGTAATTCACCATATTTTAATATTTTTATCCCCAGTATAGTAATCTAAACATTATTGTTAGGACTCAGTGCAGTACTCTGTTAGGAAATCCAGCTTGACAAACATCTTTTTGATGTAATGCATCTTTCAATTGTGTTGAGAATAATCATAGTCTCTAATCCAACCCACTCTGGCTTTAGATCCAATCAAGTTAACCAGTCAAGCAGTTAATTACCACTCGAGCGAATAGAGAGTGGTCATCAAGCGGTGAATCACACCTTGCAGGATCTCAGAGTTATTTTCCAGAGTACCGCATGGTTGCATAAACCATTCAACCAGTGGTGGGATGGCTCAAGGGATATATGCAGGTAGATTCTCTCACAACCGCATTTCAGTGATCAGATCTGGTTCTCAGCTCTTAGTTTCTCTGTGGATGTGTGAGAACAGAGCATGAGAGTTCTAGAGTGATTCGTGCTTATTCCTCGAAGAATTAAGAGTGATATATTGATCATTAAGTCATGGATTGAAGATCTTCACTGGGATTGGTTTCAAAAGCACTACCAAGTGTAGATCTCTTCGGTAGATTCCAAA